TGTTTCTATACGCCCTCCTCGACTTTCATCTCGGCCCAGGCGGCCTATCTGAGACTTCCTTGCCGGGAAGAAGTATACGAGGCGCAGGAGTATACCACCGTGCCCTATTTCCAAAGCTTCCTCAACCAGGTACCAGCATCGCCTGAGAATGATAACGCCAGTTTGAGTGCTATGGCATTACAAGTTGAGATCTTGTCACTCTGGGGAGACGTATCTGACCACGTTTTCCGATTGTCCTTGGTGCCAGCCGAGGCATACAATCAGCTCTTCGAGGAATTCTACGTGAAGGTCGCCGGACGCGTCGATGAATGGGTCGCACGGCTCCCCGATCATCTGACCTTCTCGGCTGTGAATATGGAACGAAGCATCCGAACAAAGAAAGCGGATGCGTTCATGTCAATCCATCTACTTTATCATGCAACTCTGATGGCGCTGAATAGGTATGCTCGATACCAAAATATCCGCGCGGAGATCATAGAGCGACATATCCGCACCACGCGGACCCATGCAGTAGAGATTCTCCAGATCTCGCTCGCCCTTATGCGTTGTGCTGCAGACTATGAGCCGTCTCGTATCGTTCTGGAGCCGGGAACGGCGCGAGGAACCATTCTGAACCCATTCCTCGGATACGTGATTGTGTCAGCGACAGATGTCCTCAGTGCGGCTGGACTGATGACTGATTTGCCGGAGAGCGTGAATCTGATCCGTGGGGCCTTGGAGGCTGTGCGAGAGCTGGCGCGCTTCTGGGGCGGTGCCATGCCTCTGGCGACGTTAATAGAAAAGCGTCTAGAAGCTATGAATGAAAGTCTTCAGCAACAGGCTGGTTCCGACCGGAAGGCGGCGTTTTTCGTGCACGGCCCATCGCTGGATAGCCAGGTGCGGGCAGGAGTGCAGCAGCAGCCAGATTTGGCGACGAACGAAGACCTAATGTATGGCGGTCTGCCCCGGGAGCAATTGTTCGGCGCACTGGGAGCGGGCGACGTTCCCTTCTCAGATGAGACGGTCCTTTGGATTAGAGAGAGGAGCGGATAGCTCTTCTACCCCTTGTTGGGATGTAACTTTTTTGCATTATGAGCGGATATACAAAAGCTGTTGCAGTTGTGTTTTAGCAGGTTATACCCGGGAGGCTTGTTTGGATTGAGTTGTTGTTGCTGAATATACTATGTTGCGGTAGCCCCGATGGTATGTGGGCTTACTGCTCTTTCAGATGACACGAGTGACGATGTTGCACATGGATTGTATATTAGAGTCGATATTAGACGTTCCGGCAGGAGTCGTGAGTTTCAAACTAAGTTAAGCACCAGTTTCAGCATCGAAAGAGCTTACCAGATACTAGTTACATAGTAGTAAATGACGAGTCATGGCGAGTGTCCCACTTTGACGCTGCATGAATCAGCTCGTGCTCGCCTGCCCGAATTAGGAAGTCGCCCAATCAGTAGTAAACAGTAGTTTCCCCCTTAAGTTATGCCTTATCGGCGCTATGCTCGATCTCTCCCCGCCACAACGATCCAGCAGGTATCATCTAGTACTAAAGCTAGATCCTCTTTCAATATTCAGTTTGACTTCTCCCTCCATCCAAAAAGCCAGGGTTGCCAATGTGGTCGGTACCCCCCAGAAGAAAAGGGAGGGCGGACAGGAAGCTGAGGGAGGGAGGGAGTGGGAAGAACGCAAAAGAAGGGCTGACGGAATCGCCGAAACCGCCGACTTCGATTTTCCGACGTCATTCAAAATGCGTGCGCGCCTTTCCTTTTCTTTCTTTTGCTTCCCCTTCAGCCAAACACTTTGCGCATACAGGCGCCCCCTCATTAATTTACGTTCACTTTATTTTTATTTGCAGGAAGGAAATAATAGGGAATTCGAATCAGATCTCGTCTCGCAATATGTCAACATGATTATCTGAAAGGTTAAAAACTGAACAGCCAGCTTTCCCCGCTTCACAACTACCTACCTACCTACCTACCTGCCTACTGGCTTTTTTGACCACTCCCCTCATAAATACGCGCGCGCGCGCGTATGCGCAGAATCCATACTTAATCAGCCGTGCTGCAGCGACAGCAACAGCGACGACCTCACCAGCACCACCGAATAATAACGGATAACCATGGGTTCCAATCCACCACCACCCAAAGATCAGGATGAGGCCTTGTCTCCGCCCGAGGAACTCGATTACTATGCCATCCTTAATCTTGCGCGCTCTCCCACCCCCACGGAAGCTCAGATTCGGTCCGCGTACCGAACCCTCACGCTAAGTTTTCATCCGGATAAGCAGCCGGCGGAGTTGGCGGACTCTGCGCGACGACATTTCGATCGCATTCAGGAGGCATATGATACGTTGGTGGATCCGAAGAAGAGGGCGGTGTATGATGAATTGGGTGTGCAGGGGATGAAACAGGAATGGGTGATTCTTGACAGGATCGCCAAGGATATGAGGGTCGGGGTGAGGGCTATGTCTGGGGAGGAATTTCGGGGGTGGTTTTTGGAAGTGATGAAGAGGAGGGAGAGGGCTGTGGTGGAGAGGATGGTTGGGTCGAGGGTGGGTTTCTTCTCTTCTCTTTTTACTCCCTTTCTTTGGTTTCTTGGGAGGTGCGGGGGTTATGGTTGTGCTAATGGATGCAAATTCTATAGGGCTCTATCACTATTGGGTTCGATGCCTCTAATGCCGTGTCCTACGATGAAGAGGAGGACTCCTTGTATATTGAAATGCCGTCGCCGAGGCCCTCGAACTATGCACTGGGGTTCTCTTTCAAGGCGCCACTGCCGCGATTGGGCTCTTTCCTGGGAAGGGAAGGCGAGGATGAGAATGAGAGTGAAAACAATGAGGGACCTGAAACAAGGAAACTGTTCAAGGAGTACGGTGAGGAGACGGAGTTGACATTTAACGCGGGCATCTCGGGGGAGGTAGAGCAGATGCACCAGGAAGCAAACTTCAAATTCCCGGATGGCAGGAAAGAAACTCACCTTGTATGTTGACTGAGTGATGAAACTTTCCATTGGTAAATTGCTGACGCTGTGTTTAGCTGCCGCTGCCGTATTTCTTGATCGCGAACCAGATTAATCTGGGAGTCGGGGCAAGCCAACTATTTGGGGGTCCGTATAGTGTTAAGGGCCTCGCAAAACCCCCGTTTGCGTTCATGCAGAACTCCGTCATGAGTGTGAACGCTTCAGTGTTGCCACACCCATCGCTTGAGACAACCTGGACGAAGTCCTTCGTCCCTATCCCTGGCGCGAAACCCATCAGTGTGCAAGTCGATGTTGATTTTGATCGGTCGCCGCAACGGGCGCCCCCTCGTTTTGCTTTGAAGGTTACCAGGCAGATTGGTGATAGGAGGTTCTTGGTAAGTAGCTGGTCAAGCGGCTCCTTACTCTGGCCGAAACCTTTCCGCCACTTCTTTTTACCCCTCATAGAGTTCGGGTTGAACGCCGACACTGCAATGTCCGTTCCTACTCATCCCAGCTTCTTCCAAATCGGCGTCGTCTCTCAGCCCAAGCGGCAGATTTCCCCAGCGGATGTCGAGGAAGAGATGGAGGGTGATGAAGAGGATGAAGAATTTGAAATGCTTCGCCGCCAGCAGCGCAAGGAAGTTGGAGCTGCCGAAGCTTGGCAGACGAATGTGACAGCTACTCCGATGCAAACTACATTGTCATTCGTTTATTCGCGCAATGTTTTCTCGGGAAAATCGGCCTACGAGCGTTTACGCTCGGAATGGAGCTCTGAAGGCCACCATTCTTTGCCGGAGGACAATGAGCCGCGTTCTGTACGGGTCAATGTCGAAACTACTGTGGGGCGTGATTTGGCGCTTGGATGGCATATTGAGGGGACCCGCCAGGTAGGCGATTTCACTCGCATGGGTCTTGGTGTTGGTGTTCGAGATATGCAGGGCCTCGTCGTGACTGTGTCCTGGAGCAGGTTGGGCCAGAAGATCAGGGTGCCCATATCTGTTATCCCGTTTGGGCTTGTCGATGTGGATGTAGCTGCAGTGGCTATTATTTGCCCATGGCTAGCTTACTGCGCGCTAGAATTTGGGTTTATCCGTCCAAGGGAAAGAAAGAGACATCGCCGGGCGATTGCCCGACGACAGAAGCAGCTGAGAAGGCTGGTGCCCAAGAAGCGGGCCGAGAGCCAAGAAGCCATCGAGATTATGACTGAGCAAGTACAGCGCCGACAGGCGAAAGAGGCTAAGCAGGGAGGTTTGGTCATTCTCCGGGCTGAGTACGGTTACTATCCTTCGAAGAAGGACAGGGAAAATGGCCGAGGATTGGAAGTCACTGATGTTTCCATCCCGGTGGCTGCATTGGTTGACCACGGGCAACTGGCCATCCCTAAGGAAATGGCCAAGGTGAGTTCGTACCCTCCTGCAGGCGATGCTAGCAGTGCTGATATGAGTTTGATGCAGTCCCATATCCTTGGATTCCACGACCCGGCTCCGCTTCTGCCTAAGATGCTCAAGATATGGTACAATTACCATGGACAGGAGCATTACGTTGAAGCAAAGGAAACAGAGGACATTTCTTGTCCTATGCGTTCGCATCTATTGTAGCTGGGCATATCTATGTCTTCCTACTGTTCTTGATTTTGTATACATGCTGCACTACTAGCTTTTTGGCATCTCTCTCCATTCATATTTGCATAAGGGAATGTGCACTACACCACATACTTCTTCCCCTATTGAATATCTCAGACGTCTGATTCATATTGCATGCATTTGTCAATACGTTCGTGTATGTTAGCGAGAGCATTGGACGAGGACTAATACATAAGGTCGAGCTCTGGTGGTCTTTCGTGGCACGGCGAGCCGACTCTCAACTTCACTCTCTACTCGAATATATACCAATCTACTCACATTAACTCTTATCATAAATTACATTAGACTTATTTCCAATAGACTACGAATCCAAGTAAACTTCTAAGGCGGTGACGGTGCACGTGACCCTCCCGGTTCCCGCAGCGCCAAAAGAAGCCAAGCCCATCTTCACTCGCCATCGAAGAACCATTTCATCATATTCCTCCTCCACCAATCCTCTTCCCTCCCCCTCACAACTTCAGAATGGCATCCATAGCGGAGGGCCTATTCAAGTCTCTCCCCAAGCCGAAATACACCGGCGAGGAGGAAGAGCTACCGCAACATGCACAGCCCCGAGGTCCGCGGGTCGTAGGCCCGGGACAACTCGACGAAACACAGATTGTTCTCCGGGTGGGTAGCACCGCATCCATACATAAATTCCATCCACGAAAGCTTTAGCCCACCTTCACTACTATAACTCAATGCTAATGACGATGATTAATATGGTATCTACAGAGAACCGGCCCCCCTCCCTACCAGAACCGAGCCGGATGGCGGCCCCGCGCCCCCGAAGACTTTGGCGACGGCGGCGCGTTCCCCGAGATCCTAGTCGCGCAGTACCCCCTCGACATGGGCCGGAAGGGCACGTCCTCGACATCGAACGCGCTCGCCGTGCAAGTCGACGCTGAAGGAAAAGTCAAATACGATGCTATCGCGCGCCGCGGACACAGCGACAACCGGATCGTGCATGCCTCGTTTAAGGATCTGATTCCGCTGCGCCAGCGCGTCGACATGGGCGAGGTTTCGTTGGATCGGCCGTCGGAGGAAGAAGTCCAGGCGCAGATGGAGAAGACCAAGAACGCGCTCGCCAGTCTAGTGGAGGGTGCGGCGGCGGCGCAGAAGCCGAAGAACGTGAAGGGTGGACGTAGGGCGGAGCCTACATTTGTGAGGTATACGCCGGCTAATCAGATGGGTGATACTTCGAAGAAGAATGATCGTATTATGAAGATCGTCGAGAGACAGCAGGATCCCATGGAGCCGCCGAAGTTCAAGCATAAGAAGATCCCTCGTGGTCCGCCGTCGCCACCTCCGCCGGTTATGCATTCGCCGCCGAGGAAGCTCACGGCTGAGGATCAGGAAGCGTGGAGGATCCCGCCGCCGGTGTCGAATTGGAAGAACCCTAAGGGTTACACGGTTCCGTTGGATAAGCGGTTGGCGGCTGATGGACGTGGACTGCAGGATGTGTCGATCAATGATAAGTTCGCGCAGTTTGCGGAGGCGCTGTTTACGGCGGATCGTCATGCCAGAGAGGAGGTTAGGCTGCGTGCTCAGATGCAGCAGAAGCTGGCGGAGAAGGAGAAGGCCCAGAAGGAGGAGCATCTGCGTGCGTTGGCGCAGAAGGCCCGCGAGGAGCGTGCAGCTGCTAGTAGCAGTCGACGCGATTCTCGTGCTGGATCTCGTTCGCCTTCGCGCAGTGTCAGCCGCAGCCCGTCGCCGTACTCGGCTAGTGAGGATGAGGATGCTGCTCGGGATCGCGAGCGCATGCGTCGTGAGCGTCGTCAGGAGGCGGAGAGACAGCTCCGTCAGTCGCGGATGGGTACGGAGAGACGTATCCAGATGATGGCACGCGAGCAGAACCGGGATATTTCCGAGAAGGTGGCGCTGGGATTGGCTAAGCCGACGCAGGCATCCGAGTCGATGTATGACTCGCGTCTGTTCAATCAGACCAGCGGCATGGACTCGGGCTTCAACGAGGATAACCCGTACGACAAGCCGCTGTTTGCCGCGCAGGACGCCATTAACAGCATCTACCGTCCACGGGCGCAGGCTGATGACGATGACGGCGAAGGCGCCGAGGGCGAGATGAGCAAGATCCAGAAGCAGAATCGGTTCGAGGTGCTCGGTAGAGCGAAGGAAGGGTTCCGCGGTGCTGACATAGCTGAGGTATGCCCTTTCTACCTAGTCTACTCAAGAAGTATCCAACTGACACCTATCTAGGCTCGTGACGGCCCCGTGCAATTCGAAAAAGATACCACCGACCCCTTCGGCATCGACAGCATGATCGCCGACGTCACTAGCTCCGGTGCAGGCCAAAAGCGCTACGGTATTCAGGAAGTCGACCGTTCGGAACGGGGCTCCAAACGGGCGCGTGTCGATGATGATTAATTGTGTTGTTTGTGAATATACCTTTATTATTTTTACACTTTAACATACGGCGGGGTTAGATATTTACTACCTACTACGTACGCTGTGTCAACTGTACTCAATTCTTTGCTTAGGGGGTTTACTATGTGCATTGCTGCGGGCGTTGTGTGTTCACCGGTTTATACTCTTTTCTTTCGTTTTTAGTGTTGCAGAAGAGAAAATGCAAAAAGTGGTGATTTACTCTGTTCTACTTATGATAGTCTGGCTTAGTGGGTGTGCTTGCTTATCATGGGTAAGTATGATTGAACTAGTAGTAGAAGACTCGGTCATTTTCCTATCTATAGACTATTGACATATGAGGAGAGAGTACAGTGCAGGCAGGATATGTGACATCGCCACCACACTATACTCACTAAACAAACTAAAATAGTAAGTAAGATAGTAAGTAACTATAGACCAAAGCAAACTGCAATAGGACGGTACTTTACTCCGAAGATAGAAAGAAACATCACACTCCTTCCTCCGTCTCCACAGCTTCTTCAGTTTAAACAGTTCAGTGATCCATTTAATCCCAATGAACGAATGATGCCTACAGAGTGGATAACCAAGTCAAAAGACACGACATGAACTTGATTCTCATGTATCCCGAATCAAATCCCGAATGCGGGAATGACCCACATTGTCATGTCAATCATCAATGTATGTACTGCGGAGGAGGGAAGTAGTAGTAGTAGTAGTAGTAGTAGAGGATTGATCAGCATGTACGTACTTGTTAATGGTGTGGTGGAGGAATGTCATGTCACACGACTTGCACAGTGGGTAGTGACTATACTTGGGACTAAAGAAACAAGGAAATGTATACGAGGATGATGATGATGATGATGATGATGGGTAGGTATGTGATTATCTGAGTATGTGGTATGTGTGTGTGTGTGTGTGTGTAGAGGAGGGAAGGGAATCTTGGAAGTTGGGGATCAAGTGATTTGGATGTGGGTTCATTTTGGGAACATGACTACTACTATTACTTGGGATGGTAGAAGAGAGAGGGTGTGAAATGTGGCTAGAAGTGGCTGGTGATGGTGGTGATGGTGGGTGGTTGTTGCGTGTGATGAGAGGATCTATTATTATTTGTATCCACTCTATTATTACTACTACCTACCTAGTGTATGGTGTCTGCCTGCTACTGTTCTGTGTTCAATAAGACTTACCTCATCCAGTCAGTGATCTGATGCAATCATAGCTGTTATAGTGGTGAGTGGCTGAGCTGATTGAATGACGGATCTACTCCGTACTCAGGCCACAACTACAATAATATAATACTCTCAGTATGCATGCATGCAGACATCAGACCACAAGATGTCGGGTCGATCAGCCGGATAACCAAACTGATTGGATGGTGGACATCCCAAATCGACGACGTACAGGAGGGCTGGGGAGCGTTGATCTGATCGAGCAGATAACGAGAGCCAATGACCCGCGCAGTTGCGAGTCATCTTGTTTGAGATTGATGGCCACCCTCGGAACTTTGTTGCTGCTGAGAAGGAGGGGATACTGACGATCGGGTTGGTTTCTAAGTGGTAGCGCTCCAAGCGCATTGGAGGAGAGACGCTGCTGGCTGACTGGCTGGCTGGCTGGCTGGGAAAGAGTTGTGGTGATGAACGATTGGGAGGGGGGTCGGTAAGTTTGATCCGAGGGTCCAAGATAAGAGAGAGTGGCTGAAGGTCGGGATGTAAGTGGTGGGTTGCATGGGCTTGATTTCAGTCCGGGCTGGGAATGGGAGGATCGTGTCTTGTCTGGAGGGATAAAAAGTTATGAAAATGAGGAAAGTCTCATCCTTGGGTTGCCATTACCAGGGTTCTGAATGGCTAGATTTTTTGATGGTAAGTTCGCTGCAATAGCACCTGAAATTATGCCCTAGGGGGCCCGTCAGTTCAGTTGTATCCATAGCCGTTGTTCCGTTGGTCATGCCGGAATGGAACAAGATCCACTGCTAGAGTACACCGTTAACCGTGTTTGCTGATGGTGCTGGTGCTGGCGCCTGGTGGAAGCGATAACGAGTCCATGAGCCCATTCCGACCTTCCCCTTAGTCTAATACTTTGTAGTAGTAAATTGCTGAATAGTGCCTCATCTACGAACTTCATGGTTGTGCTTTTCAGATGCAATGCAGGATCATCTGTGTGACCGGATGGATGGAACTGCAGCGACCGTGGTGCCTGACTAGCTTACACTCCCACACGTTCATCGCACAACATCCTTGCCCCTGGAAAGTGCGGGGAGCCGATGAGCAGCAGCAGAGGAAATCCTGCCTCGCTCTGACCGTCGAATCCTGCTCCCGCCAGACATCAGCCATTAGATTAATGCTCGATCCGTGCGCCTGAATGATGCACCGGAGAGCACAGGGCAACGTCGGTACCGGCGCCTAGCGCGGGGTGGCGATCGAGGGGATTTGCTGGTGCTGCTGATAAGGTGCTGGGTCGGTGGAGCTGGAGATAAAGCCGAGACGCTGATTTGGGTGTGTTCCCACGGATGGATTATTAGGTAAAAGGTTCGTCTGATCTTTTGCTTTTAAAGTCTGGATAAGAGGAGTCATTCTGGCGGCGCGCAAAAGAAGCAGACGACGTGCCTCAACCGCCAATCAGTCAGTGCTCAAACAGATTTTCATTTTCTTTTCCCTCTCCTTCCCCTCATCTGTCAAGTGTGCCTTAGCTCTTTTCTTTTCTTTTTTTCGATCCCCCGGTGTCGTACCTTGGGGAAGGCTGACTCCGCCGGGTCTTTCAGCGGATCTCCGGTGTGGCGGTTGAAGCGTAACATATTCAAAGTCAACTGGAGACAGACAGGTAATTGAACCAGTCTGAAGCAAAAGGGATTGAGGGAAAGTGAGACAGGAAAGAAAGGGGAACTTCGAGGGTTGCCGAGGAATTAGAAGTGAGGAGGAGAGAAAGAGAAAGAGGAAGTGCAGGAAGAAGAGTCACCAGAAGCTCAAGTCACCTGCTCTCTCTCTTCTTCTCCCCTCTCGAGAATCAACCACCACGACAACTTCAACTTCCCTTCCACCTACTCTTCAGTTCTCACTACCTCCTTATTCTGTCTTATTCAGTCATCAACCTATCCTCCACTTCCCCTGCTCTACCCGATCCCCCCGTGTTGCGTCTATCCCGCACCATCTCTCTCTCTGACTAGATCTTCCTCCCTTCTTGCGTGCTGGCTCTCATTGATATCATTCTTTCAAACAATGGCGTAACCAAGGGGGTTTGGAAAACAATGAAAGCAAGCTGTCTTCCATCCAGAACTCTCAAGCGCAAAAAGAAAAGAAAAGCATAAAGAAACCCACCGACCACTCACGCTGTCACCAGAGGATTCGAGTTGCCCTGCGCCACACATTACTGGTCCCCGTTCACCTGCCTCACCCTGTATTGCCTGGTGCCAGCCTTTCACATCATCATCATCATCATACTTCCGATCGTGACTTCTTCTTTTATCTTCTCTCGTATGCTCGGCCTTGTATCCACCTGGCATCACTAAAACCACTCTGTCGCCTGAGTTTGTGGAAATTCGGTGACGGCAGCTGATTTGAGCACCTTAACTACTACTACTCGTCACATACACTGAACTCGCACTCATTTGATTGTGCATGATCCCGATCTTCTGATGCAAATACGTCATCTGAATATCGACAGCCATGATGGAACAGTCATTATCTCTCATCTCTGCCCAGGTCCAGTTCATGGTAAGTCTTCAAGTACCATTGCCATCATGCCGTCTCCTTTACTGCACCGATGCCCCCAAATCTACGCGGAGCAGCATGGAATCCCCTCCTGGTAGACTAATCTTGCTAACCACTGTTGTCGAAATACAGGAAGACAGGCTGGCCCTGGTGCATATCCCTCTAGACCTATATCCCTTCTTTTTGAATCCGATCATGCAGATTCTCTTCCATGAGGTGCCTCCTATCTCCGAGAACCAAATGGAAGAGGACGATGGGTACGCAGAGGGTCATAGACGCCACCAGCCGGCATTTTTGAACTTCTCAATCACCCCTGTGGAATGCTCGATCATGTGCCCCAGACAGCTTGCTAATGAGTACTTCGCTCCTCTGGTCAACAAGTTCGTTCAGAGCAGTTCCTCGGGCCAAAGCCGCCTCTCCATCAGCCATGATGATTTTATTGCCATGCAGGTGTACGGAGAGGGCCTCGAAGCTGGCCAACGGGTCCTCGAGCTTACGAGCCCGCTGGCCATGGCAGGAATGTATGGTGCAGCTGACCTTGAGTTTGTGCAACGTTCTGGCTGACATGCTCTAGCTCTATCTTCTTCATCTCCACGTACTTTTCCGACTACATCATCGTGCCTCTTCGAAGCAAGTCCCAGGTTATTGAAGCCTTGGAGAAGCGTGGCTTTCATTTCGAAATGTCAACGGAGGCTTTCGTCAACAACAACCAATCCCAGTTCAACAGCTGCTTTAGTCCCGTCTCGTCCCGGTCGGCGAGCAGCTTGAGCTCCCCTCCTGCCACTCCGCCACCCTCGTCGCTGGATGAACTGCAAACGCGCACGTTTAGCTCGCTGCGGAAGCACCAAATTGTCCCATCCGTTGACAGAACCCTGCGTCTAGTGCAATGCGCCGCGCATCACCGCTACACGAGCGATACAAGCTCCATTGCCATCCTCCGTGAAGCCCTCACAACAGCTTTGATCGTCGACAAGCCACGGTTCCTCTCTCTCACCCTAACCGCTGCTGACCCCGCGGCGTCACTCTTGCTGGAAAAGCGTCTTCTCCCCCGCTTCTCAAGTGACTCATCAGCGGCCACTGACTCGGATGACGATACAAGTCTTCTTTTGGGATCTAAGGAAGAGGTTCTTGTTCCCATCATGCTCGACCTACGTAAGCTTCCGCTGGAAGCTTCAGGTATTGTGTGCGGAGTTGCTGGCCGACTTGCCGACGCAACGCACGCACGGGGCGATGAGGATACTGACGTATCCACGATTCTTTCCCATTCTTGGAACGGCGGTGGCTCCTCTTTCGACAGTGCCTTCAAAAATGTCCTGTCCTCTAGCCACGGCTCCGGTGGACCTGTCAGATCCTTCGGCACTAGCCCCGGCTACAGAACCCATCGTCTGCAGCCAGACATGGACCCATACATGGACGCCGTCGAGATCAGCTTTCTTAGCACTGCGCGGGCGGGTTCCATCATTGTGGGCGAACACGAGCTTCACCGTGCCGTCGACGCCCTCGAAGCGGAAAGC